GATAATTGGCTAATATGTTAGCTAAGATTTTGCATCAGTGTTTATGAGGATGATTGATCGATAATTAGCAACACTGATGTATCCACCTCCTCCTAAGGCAATAAACCAATATTTCCTTAAGTAATTTGCGAGTAATTTTACTTCCCTCACAATATGCAGGCCCTATAACATCCAATACAGTCACACTACTGCACCCAGGGCCGGACTGGGGAAAAAATTCGGCCCAGGCATTTTTTTATCACAGCGGCCCATTAAGAAGGGGGCGGGGCAGAGAGGGTGTGTTTTGTCATCACTCATGACAAACACGCGCCCTCTCAAAGTGAGCATGTTGGTTCAATGCTCTTCCAGGGCAGACCATGCACAGAGCTCTGCTGAAGAGCTGGAGCATGAGAAAAAAGCCCTGTATTTGTTCTGCACAGTGCAAGCAAATTTAATAACATGCTTGCACTGTGTTTCCTTACAACTTGTCTCTGGTGTCTCTATAAATGGATACCAGGAGACAAAAGGGCCAGGAAAGAGTATTGTGCATGTGTTTGGAGCCTGCTTGTGGTATTGCGTGTGTGCAGAGTGAGCTGGTCGTGGTGTGGTATTGTGTAATAATGTCGGTTTTAGTAATGTTGTGTTTGTGGTGTAATGTAATGCATATGTGGCTAGGGGCTGTAGAGAATGTGTCTATAGGGGATGTAGCAAGTGTGTGTATACAGGCTATAGTGTGTGTGTGTGTGTGTGTGTGTGTATATACAGGCTATAGTGTGTGTGTGTGTGTGTGTGTTCAGGGAATGTATGGGTTTGCTTACAAGGAATCTAGTGTGCGTATAGGGGAGCCAGACTGTGTGTGTGTGAAGGACCCAGACTACGTATGGGAGATCTAGTGAGCGTGCTAATATAACGGATTCAGAGTGTATATAGGGATCTAGTGTGTGTAGATGATTCAGAGTTGGGTAGAGGATCTAGTGTGTGTCTGGAATGAAATGTGTTTAGGGGTGCTGTGTGTGTGTGTGTGTGTGTGTGTGTGAGGGGTGCTGTGTGTATATATATATATATATATATATATATATATGTATATATTATAAATATGTTTGGAAGTATTGTGTATGTGTGTGATGCAGTGTATCGGGGGGTTGTGTGTGTATGTGAGGGGTGCAGTATGTGTGTGTGAGTGCTGTGTATGATGTGTGTGAGTCCTGTGTAGTATGTGTGTGAGTGCTGAGTGTGTGAGTGCTGTGTAGTATGTGTGTGAGTGCTGAGTGTGATAGTGCTGTGTAGTATGTGTGTGAGTGCTGAGTGTGATAGTGCTGTGTATGATGTGTGTGAGTGCTGTGTATGATGTGTGTGAGTGCTGAGTGTGATAGTGCTGTGTGTGATGTGTGTGAGTGCTGAGTGTGATGTGTGTGAGTGCTGTGTATGATGTGTGTGAGTGCTGAGTGTGATGTGTGTGAGTGCTGTGTATAATGTGTGTGAGTGCTGAGTGTAATAGTGCTGTGTATGATGTGTGTGAGTGCTGTGTATGATGTGTGTGAGTGCTGAGTGTGCTGAGTGTGAGAGTGCTGAGTATAAATGTTGTGTGTTGGGGGGTAAATAAACAAATAAAAACCTAAGTGGGAATAAATATACAAAAAAAAATAAAATAAGGGGGTAAATAAACAAAAACACTAATCATGCATTATCTCCCCCCTTACCTTTAGCCTGGGAGGAGGAGGGGTCCGGCACGCTGGTGAGTGGGGGGGGGGTGGGGGACCAGCATTCACACACGATCCCTGGTGGTCCAATGGTGACTCTCGCGAGATCGGGGCGTTGCCATGGCAACGCTCCCGATCTCGCGAGAGGAACCCGGCGGAGCTGCAAAATAGAGCTCCGCCGGATCCTCTCCCTCTCTCCCCAGCCGCCGGTCTATTTAAATGGGCCGGTGAGGGAGAGCTTTGATCTCCCCACCGGCCCTCCATGGAAGACAGCAGGGCAGGCTATAGTGTGTGTGTGTGTGTGTGTGTGTGTGTGTGTGTATATACAGGCTATAGTGTGTGTGTGTGTGTGTTCAGGGAATGTATGGGTTTGCTTACAAGGAATCTAGTGTGCGTATAGGGGATCCAGACTGTGTGTGTGTGTATGTGTGTGTGTGTGAAGGACCCAGACTACGTATGGGAGATCTAGTGAGCGTGCGTATATAACGGATTCAGAGTGTATATAGGGATCTAGTGTGTGTAGATGATTCAGAGTTGGGTAGAGGATCTAGTGTGTGTCTGGAATGAAATGTGTTTAGGGGTGCTGTGTGTGTGTGTGTGTGTGAGGGGTGCTGTGTGTATATATATATATATATATATATATAATATAAATATGTTTGGAAGTATTGTGTATGTGTGTGATGCAGTGTATCGGGGGGTTGTGTGTGTATGTGAGGGGTGCAGTATGTGTGTGTGAGTGCTGTGTATGATGTGTGTGAGTGCTGTGTATGATGGGTGTGAGTGCTGAGTGTGATGTGTGTGAGTGCTGAGCGTAATAGTGCTGTGTATGATGTGTGTGAGTGCTGAGTGTGATGTGTGTGAGTGCTGTGTATGATGTGTGTGAGTGCTGAGTGTAATAGTGCTGTGTATGATGTGTGTGAGTGCTGTGTATAATGTGTGTGAGTGCTGAGTGTAATAGTGCTGTGTATGATGTGTGTGAGTGCTGAGTGTGCTGAGTGTGAGAGTGCGGAGTATAAATGTTGTGTGTTGGGGGGTAAATAAACAAATAAAAACCTAAGTGGGAATAAATATACAAATAAAAAAAAAATAAGGGGGGTAAATAAACAAAAACACTAATCATGCATTATCTCCCCCTCCCTCCCCCCTTACCTTTAGCCTGGGAGGAGGAGGGGTCCGGCACGCTGGTGAGTGGGGGGGTGGGGTGGGGGACCAGCATTCACACACGATCCCTGGTGGTCCAATGGTGACT